GGGGGGGGGGGAAAAAAAAGAAGGCTGTCAGACAAAGCCATGTACGTGACACCCTCGACGATTGCCGGTGCACTGCGCGTCCCGCCTGGCCGGAGAGACACCCGGTGACGAGATCCCCCACTCCCGACGCCCCGCTCGCCTCCGGGCCTCCCCTTCTCCCCGACAAGGCCCCGGACAGGAGTGCCCCCCACAAGGCAACGAAGCAAGAAGCAACAAGCCCGGACAACGCACCCTTCTTGGGAATACCGCGCCCAAGCTCGTGGCGGCGGTGGGCCTCCTTGCGCCAGTACTCGTCGCGCTCGCTGTAGGAGAAGCCATCCGCCTTGGCCGGCGGGGGGTAGTAGTCGGTGATCTTGGCCGAGGGCGGGCGCGACAGGAGAATGTGGCGCTGCAGGGGGAGAGCACTGGGGAGCACCAAAGGCGGCGTTAGCACGAGGGAGGGGGATGCGAGCGCCAGGCCGGCCGGCTGGGTGGCTCTCGGCCGGTGGCAGGCACGCAGGGCGGAAGGGGAGCGGGGGACAAAGCGCACGTCGGGTTGTAGACCTTGTCAAAGACCTTGCAGGACAGCGCAATCAGGCGCTGGCGGGACCCATCGCGCGTGGCCGTGGCCCGAGCGAACTTCATGAGAGACATCGGGGCGGGAAGGAGGGGCGGAAGGAGGGGGCGGGCAGGGACAATCAGGGGGGGGGGGAGGGGGAGGGATGGATCCAGCTGTCGAGGCCACGGGCCAACGCGAACCCAAGCCCCGGGGCAACAAATAATGCTGGCGTCCCGGGTCCCCCCCGGGGGCGAGAAGGCGCAGGGCCGGGCCGCCAACCGGTTCTCCGCGCGATGCGCCCCGGATCCGCCCATCATTCTCCCTCGAGGACGCGCTCGTCCAGGAGGGGTGCCAGGCAAACGCGAGTGTGCCTGCCCCGCCGTCCCCACCCCCCCCCCCCCCCCCCCGAGGTGGGGCCTGAGCGGCCGGGCCAGGCTGCAGGCTCGGGCATTGGAAATGGAATTGTGGTCATGTGGTATCCATCGCCGTCTGATCCTGGGGCGTGATCGGGCAGTGCCAGCAACCCCGCCTCCCGCGGCCCGGGCTACCGCAGTTCCACGCCCTGGCCGCCCTGGAGCCGGGCCCGGTGCTTCCATGCCCGCCGCCTGCGTCCCTTTCGTGAGGCCCCCACTAGATTGGTCCTATCGCGCTGCGCTCACCACGTTCGCGGCCCAAGCTGGAGAAGGGGGGCTGTGAGCGAGGGGGGGGGAGCCTTCGCGCAGATCGGTCAGTGTGCGGTGTTCTCAACACAAGCGCAGGCAGCCCGCCTGGGCGGGGGAGGTGCGCGCTTCTACGAACGCGCGAGAGCGGGCCCCATGCCCGGGGAGAGAGGGGGGGGGGGCCACCCCACGCCGGCGGCCGCTGCGCCGGGAGAAGACCGCACTGCGCGCGCGCGCGCGTACGCCCCCCGGTGTGCACTGTAGTGGCTACTGGTCGGCCGAACCCCGGGGGTGTTGGGTGGCGTCAATTCACGCGCTTGCGCCCGCGCCCGCGCCCGCGCCCGCGAGGCGCCCCCAAGTCTAGCATCCATCTTCTGGGGCGGCGCAGCCCCATGGGCGGCAGTCCGGGGTGCCTGCTCCTCCAAACATGCACGCGCGCGCGCGCGCGCGCACACGCGCGCGCCAGCGAATACCCACATCCTGTGCGCGCGCCCACCGGGGGAGGCATGCGTCCCGGCGGACCGGGGGGGGCGGCCCGAGGCCGCGGCCTCACTCCCTGATCGGCTCGGTCGGTCCCGCTCCGGGGACCGGCCATTTACCGCGCCCTCCTGCCCCCCCCCCCCCCCGGGGGAACAGGGACAAGCGAGCCGTGGCCGACTAGGGCTGAGCGGCATCCCCGAGCCGGGCATGAGACCAGCTGCTTCTGAGACCGCAGAGCCCGGAGCCCGGAGCCCGGAGGGCAGTGATGACCCGATCTCCGCCCCACACGGGCCGGCCCCCCCCCCCCCCGTGCTGATGCACAGCAACGGCATCAACCGGCAGACGCTTGTCGGCATCCTCGACATGGCCGGGCTCGGCATGCGGCAGTTCAACATGGACGCCCTGGCCTACATGCGTGAGCTGATCCCCCTCTACGAGGCCAACTACCCGGAGGCCCTCGGCCGCATCATCGTCATCAATGCGCCGGCCGTGTTGTGCGTGTCCTGGCCCTGCCACCGAAGAAGCCCTCCGGGGCCCCCTCGCCGCTCTGACATGCAGCCGCTTCCCCGCCCCGCCCGGCCCCGCCCCCAGCACCATGTTCTGGAACCTCCTGAGCGGGCTGATCGCCGAGCGCACTCGCGACCGCATCATGATCCTCGGCACCGACTACATGGACCACATTGGCTCGCTCGTCGGGCCCGAGTCCATCCCAGTGCGTCCGGCGCCTGGTGCCGTCCCTC